TGTATTTCAGTTCACTTTATAAATAGTTGTATTTGATTTTAAATTCTGATTTTCCTTGAATTTGTTCAGATGGCGAAATCATATACGGTCCAAATGTGCGGGTCAATCAAATATAACTTACACAATTTTTGGCTATTTATGACTCCTTGTTCTCCTAAAGTTAACAATATTCAGAATGTACATTTGAAGTAGTAACACTTAAATAATCATAGGTTAACCTCTTTTCAGAGTGAAGTTTAGACGACCACGATGTTTTTATCCTATCTAAAAACTCGATTGATGATAGATCTACGTAGGTTCAATTCGCTTGATGAGCAATTTTCTCTTTATTCATAGATTGTATTATCGGTTGAAACTATTTCGACGGTTCATGAATTAATTTCTCGTAGATCAAGAGTTTGTTAATCAAACTTATAAAGCTTTCTACGTCTAAGTACACGTTTCTTGTATATGCAGCTTCATACATATGAACTATACAAGAAAATATTGCCACGTGTTTCTATGTACGCGCATAGGAATCAAAAGTTTTCAACTCAGTTTTGAAATAATCTTGATACTAAAAACAAAATCTCACATTATAATATGTATAGTTCGGGTTAAAGACAGAAATCTAAAGAGTATAAAAGAATGGCAATTTGAAATTAGAAAATCACATGACTTAATTGTTCTTACTCAATAATGGTATAAGTCAAGTTTTTTCACACATCTGTTTACATTACTGTTAATTGCTGCATAATTGACTACATGCTGCAACATAGCTCTATGCTTTCCTTCTCCAATGTCATAAGCTGTCTATAAGTCAAAAACGTCAATTTTCAGATTGAATCAAATTTCGAGCTGTCTATATTTTAATGTTAAGCATGGAATTTAACAGTTGATGATTGTTGAAAATTTTGATTTGGCATAAAAACATTTTATTGAATGCTTTTCGTCTCCTCTCATCCAAATAAGTCAATCTTTATGGTAAAAAATCGATATTAAGATGTACGCGTGCTTATAAAGTTTAAAGCGTTTTATTTTATATTAAATATGCTTGCTAGTTGATGCATTATTTCCATGACAGTTTCTGAGTACTTTTTAGCTTCGCTACCAAACAAATCGATGCTTATCCTCTTCAGACATACGGACAAACACTGCGATTAAAATGCTCAAAACATGTTTTTTTGTTTTTTATTTGCTCAAATTATTTTGATCGCGCACAGCAGATTTTTTGAACGAATTTTTTTTGAAGCTAATTAGTTATTTTTGTTTGAAAGAACATATTTAGTTGTAGAATCCGACATATTCCGATCTTTTAAGATGAATTTGACTTTATAAAGTAAGAGGAGGTTTTTTTTATGAAGACATTTTCATTTTGACGATTGTTCAACTTTCAATCCGTTTCGTTATTATAGAAAGCAACAAATTGACAAAAAAAAAGTTTGATCAGATCTTGCAACAAGTGTGTTTTGTCTCATAAAAGTAAATAACGATATTTATCACCAAATATTACAGACGTTTGGGCTACCAGCACACAATTTTTGACTCTAATGAAGCACATATCTTATGGAAAATTCATAATGATGGGTTTGAAAATTTTAGTAATGCTTCTACTGAGTTCTCAACACAGCCTCAAAATCCACACGATTTGAATGTACTTGGACTAAGATCAAATCTTAAGTGAAAGGAGGTTTTAAATCAAAATATTCTGTTGCTTGACAATCCGTGAACGGACTAAGTTTCGCTCCTTGATAATAAAATAAAATACTGTTCTTTCTACTTGCTTGAAGATTTAAATCGTCAACTCTCTACAGACTTTCGCATTGGATCTCAGAACAGGTTACGGATTGGATACAATCCGAGTAGGCGAATCTGAAACGGTTAAATTTATTTATACTTCTTGGTTTCATAGAATGCGGTCAGATTACAAAATACTTTTGTTTATCATTCATTTTTCTCAGAAACATGATATGACAAATTTTTGAATGCTATTATAGAGTAAGACGCATTGAAGACTTCATAAAATCAGCCATTCACGTCTTATTCAAAGGTTTATTTTATAATTTATTTAAATTGGCAAGTCTTTTTCTCGCTTGATCTACGTTTCTTGACCATTGTGTTCTACTTCTTCCTTTTCTTCAGTGTTTTTAACATTAAATTTCCCCAATAAACGCAAAGTATCTAAGATACGATTTCGTGTAACTACCGTATTTTGATCTTTGCTGTTAAAAAAAAAACAAAGTATCTTGATGGTATTTTGTAAAATACAAAACTACTTTGCTCATTTATAACACCATCATTTAGAAGTTACTCGTCTTTCTCTTGTTTATAGGTTCTAGTTGTAGATAAAGCTAAAAAATTGTTTTTTCTTTTGGTATTATCGAATTCATCATCGTTATTGAAATTACTTTTCATCAATACCTTCTTCACTTGTTCTTTTCCTTATTCGTGTGGGCGATTTATAACTATCGATTTACTTTTTTATATTTTGTTTCACAAGAATATATTTTTTATTAAAAGATACCAACCGGTAATAATTTTGCCTTTGTTTTTCTTGAATCCTTGCTTTCCTAAGATACTTTGAGGTACTTGGTTGTTTAAAACAAAGTACCAGCAAATACTTTCTCATTGAAAAATAGATACTCAAATATACTTTGTTTCGGATTCCTATTAAAAACGCTGCTTTTCTTAGCACGAGCAATGTAATACTTGAATCGATCCTAAGTATCATATATTTTTAAAAAAAACCTACACACAATTATTCCTTTTTTGTAACGAAAAAAAATCATATTTGCAGAGAAAAAAAGTTGTATTATGTTGATCATATGTCATACGAATTTTTCTTCTACTTTCTTTTGTTTGTAAGACTTTCAGTCCATTACTATCTGTTAATGTCCTGCACGGGTGCAAGTTTTTGCACCCGAACCCGAGCCGGCTCAGTTTTTCACACCCGGCACCCGATCCGACCCGGCCACGTTGTACCTGGGTCCGACTCAGACCAGGATAGCTGTACCCTGCTCGCGACCAGACCCGGTCCGGCAATAAAATAGTAGGCCTTTGCCGCGTGTTGTCAAAGTTACATAAACTTCAAACCTTTATATCGTATGAAAAAACACACTATTGTTTCAATTTCATCAATTAACAAGGATAAAAAAAGTCATCTAAAGCTTCGTAAAAAAACAGCTAGTGAATCAAGAGATTCATGGTTCAGTTGTTGCCTTCGTGCTTCTAAAACTTCCACTTTTACGTATGACATAATAATCCCATTACATCCGGTAGCGTTCTTGGCTTCGTTCAATCTAAACGAGTATTCCAGAGTCAACCATACTCCTCACAGAAGTATGATATTACATCCAGCAATGATCATCGTGCCTCTAGATTCAACTGTATGTAAAAGTTGAGGAATTTGAGTTGTTTTGGTGTAATTTCTCTTAGAGTTACATAATGCCGTATCGAAGCCACTACGCCAGGAATAATTACACTAAAACAACTCAAATATCACAACTTTTACAATATGTGATTCGTTTGGAAGCAAGGAGCTGCTTAGATTTAGAAAGTAGTGCGTATAATGTAGAAGTCTATACACCTTAGTCGTATGTTATGTGGGTATTATGACATCTATGAATATATTCGCTGTTTATATAACTTATTTTGAGCTTTTGAATATAATTCATCCACTAATTATGGTCGAATCTTTTTGATACATGTAAGTTTTTTTTAACAAATCACGATCTTAAAACGTGAAATAGTTTTACATTTTTATATGCCACTGACTATCGGGTCGGGTGCCGGGTACGCTTTAATATTGCACCCGACCCGGAATTTTTTTTTTATATCCGGCACTCGATCCGGTTGCAAGACACTACTATGTGCCTTTAATTGTAATAGCACTTTGCAAATAAACAAGCATTATTGTAGAAGTTCACCAATTAGACCTTTAAAAACTCTGATATAATACTTTCATCGCCTTTTAAACAAAAATAAAATTTTCTTTCACTTCTAATCGCTCAGAATCAATTGAGCTAAACGAAGGGAACACAAAAAGATTAAAAAGATATTTTTGTAGAATGGGTTCCTATGGTTACAAGACTATAGTCGAATGTTGTTGGTTATGTATTTAGATTTCTTGTTCAAGAATGTATTTCTTTGGATATTTCATAGCGCTTTCACTATATTATTCTTCCTTTTTACTCTCCTTTGTTTCATCATTGAAGCAAGCACGGACAAAAAAATATAGTGACGGCTGTGCGTGGTTGAAAAACTGCTTAAAAGGATCGTTTTTATGATAGATGCTAAGCAAGGCAAGCCGAGACGATGGCTAGTGGGTTTTTTATTGACTCTCAAATCTCTGGGATGAATGACGGGTTCCCATATTTAATAGTTGATATTTCCCCCATTCGGTACTATTAAACTTCAGAAAAAGTCGAATTTAGAGCGACCCTACTGTTGTCAATGGGCTTCAACAAGATTTTGAAAATTCACTCACTGAAAAAATTTGATTACTACATTAAAATATTGATATGAATAATTCGCATATTATCATGCTGCTATATTAAAATGTGCTTAACAGTTGAATATCTCTTTCAAGGCACGCCATGGGTAGCTCATATTTTAAATTTGTTAGTTTGTTGGCGAAAGTGATCATTTGACCTGAACATGGTTAATCTTTTTGACAAACAATACAAACCATTCTACTGTAAGAAGAAACCAAGCGGTTGGAAATTGAAGAGAAAATACGAAATCGATATTCGAAAAAAAATCTTTCTACTGACTGGGATCTCAGTTCTACTAGCACTCGAATTATTTGAGCAAAAATTTTCAATGTGACATTAATGACATTCGTATTTTCGATATATAAAAAAGACAATGCTTTTCATTTATCAGTTTTTTAATATTTATTGGAAAGTATTATTATGGATGATTTTTTTTAAACAAACACCAAAATAAAAATAAATTACAACCAATTAAACCGTAAAAGTATATTTGATATAATAATGAAAAGATTATTTTATACTATTTATTCAAGGGAAAGTTTTAGATGTATGTATTTCAGGCTAAAAGTAAAGAAATAAATCGAATTTATTATTTCTAATAGAAATCTATTTACTTTTTTTGTTTCCATATTCAAGTCAATAATTACCGGAAAACTCAGATTTTGTCCTTTGACTAAGTCAAGATTCTATAAAAACAATATCTATAAAATAAAATTCGAAAACTAATATTGTTGTTTTACTTCTCCAGCATAAGAAACAAGTGGAGAAATTTCACAAATATTTTCATTGGCTTCTCTGAAAAAGAAAAGTTCATTATCATCAAATTATATGTTATTTGAAAAGGAAAAACATACTGTAATATAGCACCAGCTTGTTTAAGATATCGAATATGTTGAAGTATTAAATCTCTTCGACATGTTTCAGCTGTATCTTTATTTCCTGTACCATTTTTTAATGGAGAAAATTCATCTTCACGACGTACTTCCCAAGTAGCAAATGTTCTATTTATGAAAGAAAAAAAAATTGTTAACAGTTCAACTCCTTTGAGATTTAAGTGTGGAATTCACATGCCATATTAAACTTTATTATATGAATAGAAAATAAATAAGCTAATAAAATTCTAACAGGTGATAATAACCTTGTTAGAATAATTGGTCGTTAAAAAACTAGTCTGTTCTATTTTTTTCTACATTTGGATCAAATTTTTGTAAAATTTATTATTATCATTTCTCTAACTAGTGATTGAACTGACTACTAAACCTGTTGTATGCATTCATTTTTTCTACAATCTGTCTCAACATACTGCTATGCATCTCGATAAACTTACAAACATTGATAATGATTATTTTTTAGAAAGTTAAAACTTGATCAGTTAATGCTTTTTGTGTTGATCAAATGATGACTCTTGCAAATCAATACATTACTACTTGTCATCCTTCATATTCATCACATAATTGTTTACCTATGCTATTGAGTGCATTTCATAACGTACTCTGGTTATTTAACCCTTTGAGGACCATGGGACATACGTTGTCCCACCTAGTTTTCAGTAAAGAAAATGTTTGCTTCATATTAAACTGTTATAATCTTCAAGGTAAATAGGTCGCCTACCTGGCATCTCATGCAGGTCTTTTCTCTCTTTCTTCCTATCATATAGATCCTTCTCAGATGTCTTCTTTTCTTTCTCCTACTATATAATAACGCATGATTTCACCCTCTCTTTTCTCGATACATTGTTATGAGGTTTTTATCTGATCATTTCGAGCCAAATATAACAAATTGATTGAAGAACCGTTTTTCAATTGAAAAAAAATCAGTCCTCAAAGGGTTAAGTTTCAAAGAAGGCTTTCAATTGTGCTACAACACTCTGAAGATGTTCATCGCGACAATAGAAATAAAGGCTCACCCTTGATTTCACAATTTTTTTTTGAAAAATTTTGAATGCCGCTGCTGTGACTGTACTAAACTAGAACTGTTATTGCTAATCCATGAGACTCATCGAGTTTCAGTGTGCTATATTAGCAGACACGGATATTCCATCCAAATTCATATCGATTTAGTATGCTTTTCAGAAAGAAGCTATCGTAATGGACATATTTGGAACTTTCTAACGAGAGAGTGTTTTCAACTGATCAATCCCTTTTTGAAAGCAGATTCTCTGCTTAAAGTAGATTCCATTAAGACATAAAAAATCTCAACAAGATAAATCGTCTTAAGCTTCTTGTATAGAGTGATAGGTATTTTACTAGAATTCAAGACTTTGACATGGTATATACCAAGAAACCAAATAACAGTATTTCGGTCTGACATTTTACCTATAGATAGATTTCTTTGTTAGTAGAATGCTATAAAAATTTCACCTCAAAAGAATATTTCTTTATCGAAATAGGAAAGCTCCAAAAATCACTCATATTCTACAAGCGGCTCTAGAATTTTTTGCCTTTTTGGGACTTTCATATTTCGAAAAGAAAACATTATTATTCAGTTTGTTGTGATTTACCATGCCAGAGTCTAAAATTCTCATGAAATGCCTATAATATTAGAGTGCATGTCTAAAGAAACTTAATCTTTTCAGAACTTTTATATCTCACTAGAATCTACTTTAGACAGAGATTCTAACTTTAAAAACGATCGACCAGTGGAAACGTTCGTTTGTAAATGCTGCTCAGTGTCTTTTTCATTGCTAGGCAATTCGTATTCAATGATCTGCCATACTGATTGTTCAAATCTGTAGAAGAATCCTAATACTTCGATTTAAAATTTATATTGACTATTCTTCTTCCAAAAATACATGTGAATTCCACAAAATACCAATTTATTTTTGCTTACTTCGAGAATGGAAATACATCAAAAACAAATTTCTCTAATTTTATTCCATTAATTTCTTTTGGCTTATCAACACGCTTCCCATTCTTATCAATTGATGGAATTTTCTTTTTTGCTATATGATATCGAAGTTCATCATCATGATTTCTAAAATTCAAAGAACAAAACCAAAGAAAAAGAAATATAATTGTTAAATTCTTCTTACTGACAAACATCTTTAAGAAAATTTAATGTAAAAAAATGATTACAAATATTTCCAGCATTAAATAATAATTCATCACTATTGTCAGATTTTTTTCTTTTTGCTGTTTTTTCTGATATTTCAGAATATTCAACAACTTGAAAACGATCTTGAACTTTACATATGACACCAACAGCTTCATTAGGAAGTGTTTTTTTGACAACCTAAAACAAAAACCAATGTTTAATATATATTAAGTAAAACTAAACGAAAAACAAAAAAAATTATACTTTTGCTGCACAATCAGCATTTTTTTCTATGCAAAATCCAATAAATATTGGATCACCTAAACGAACTAGTATATTATCCACACAATAAACATGAATATATTTTATTTGTCGTTTATCCATTTCAGATAAAATATGATTTGTTGTTAATGCACGATATAAACCACCATTACCATCAGCTGCTTTAGTTAATTTATATTTTTCATCAAGTAAAATTTTTCCATGAAAATCTAATGCAGGTAATAGATGTTGTTCAAAAAGAATAACATTTTCAGATTTTAAACCAAAATAATTATTTGAATGTAAATATATTTCTGTTTGTTCTTGAGTATGTTCACTTGTCATTATAAACCTAAATAATTATTATAGATATCAATAAAAAAAACAAAATGAGAAAGTTTTTTTCAAGTCACCATGGAATGATTGATGTATTTGTTTTAAATTCTTCATTAGCTAATTGTTCAAGTCGACGAATACGTTCAGCTTGAATTTGATAGAGTGTTTTTTTAGATGGTAAGCCAACATCGTACATGCCTTTTGGATAATCGACACCTATTAAATAACTTATTAAAATGATTGATATAGAATAAAACTCTACCAAGACGAGTTCCTTGTCCACCAGCAAGTAATAATACACATACAAAACCTTCAGAAATAGCTTTTAAACTTAAAAAAGAAAAATAAACATAGAAGTATTTTAAATAGAAAGATAAACTAATCTTTCTGACGATAACATTCCAGTTGTTCTTCACTAGCTTCGTTGATTGATCCAGTTATAGTATCAGGAACTGGTTCCATAATATCATCAATATTTTCTTGTTGTGTTTCTTTTTCATCATCTTGATTAAGTAATTGATTATTTGGAATTGTTTTATCTGCAAATAATTCACGTTTAATGCCATTATAAGCTTTATTTACACGATCAAAATCAATTTCATTTATATCGTGTAATAATAATTGATGTTGTTCATCGTTGAGTTCTGACCAATAGTCAAGCAAATGTGTTTGATTAGCATTTGTTAAACGTTTTTTTATAGACGAATCGATTTCCATCTTTGAATAAAATGAATATAACAGAATTTTTTTTCAAAATACACACATTCGATTTATTATTTATATGTCCAAACACACTACTACTATAAACGAGAGACTTTGTATAACACAAAGACGTTAACTAACATTTAATCGTAACTGCAAAAAGAAATATATAGAAACTTAAATAGATAAAATTGTTCTTTTTTGTTGCTGACTTTTATTCATATTTATTGAAATGAAAACATTGAAAACATAAATTGAAAAGGCAAATATTCAAAATTACTTTTCATTCACTAAATAAATTTTTAGTGGATATAAATCGAATTTGTTTAGTTTGATATTAGTATTTTTTTTCTTATAGAAATCTGAAAAACACGTTTTACAATTGACTCTATCAAAATGGATTGATTTTGAAAGCTATACAAATACAAAAGACAAAATATATAAGTTAATTTCTCTGAAAATTATATTTCATGCTGTTGAAAATAAAGAGTACTGATCAAAATACTAAGATAAATGTGAAACAAGTTAATGATAATTAAGATATTAAATTAGACAATCAAACTTGGTTCCATCCTACATGGAAGCTCAGTTTTCATATACTCATCATTTTTAGCTCACTCGATGTACCAATCGGGTTTTTCAGATAGATAGATCCTTTTAATTTTTTTTTTCGTTTTACATCATTTTAAATTTTTAAACAGTTCGGTTTTCTTATTTCTTTGAGAACTAGCTGTTATAAAACAGCTGATATAGATGACACTACTAGTTGGAATTAGCTAATGAAAGCATCTCAATGAGAGAAATGATACAGAAGGTTTTTTTTTTAAATAATTTATTGTGTTTCATTAAAATATATTGTGTAATAAAATGCAAATAACCTTTTATATTGACTAGATTGAAACCATTTATCGATGGCACACATCCTGGGGAACATATTAACAACACATACTTCAGATAAATAATTCTATTCACCAAATAAAGCATTTTGAAATACTTTTTTAATATCATGCTGCTATTTATTATGTTCTCTTCTTTAACTCGATGATGCAGGATGTTTAGTAGTTGTCTTCATCTTAAAGCAGATACAATCATCTGATATAAAATTGATAATAAACATGTACATATCATGGGTACAAACTCATCAAGTCAATCCAGATCTCATGCCTGAATCTAATCCGGTAATTAATGAGGTCTCGAAGTTGCAAAATAATTTTACTTTTTCAAACTGCTAATTTATATAAAAACGTAGGAGTGCAAACCATTTCGATCGTAATTCAATAATTTATTTTACATGAGAATAGATCACAATAGCGAAAAAATATATTGCTTTACTAAAATACAAGAATTCATTTTTAATAAAAAATCATCTACAGATAATGAATAATATACAAGGTAACTGAATACATGAAAAGGAAAATTAATTATGGAAAATGTGAACATATATTATTGTAATGAAAAAAGCACTACTTAAATATATCCACGAGTATGACATTTGGCATTAATATTGCATTAAATTCCAGCTTCATCAGCAACAAGTAAGCGTATACTTAGCGAAATAGTTCGCATTTTAGAAACAAAAAGACGTCAAGTGAGCTCTAAATCACTGTTTGAATAGACTCAGGTATCTACTTTTATGTCTGATTCCTTCATAACCAATACTAGAAGCTAAATATATGTGCTCGAATTAACAATAAACCATTTGGATAGAGAAGTTCAACTATTCAATTGTTTAGTATTTTTTACACATTGTTTAATATGAACAGAATTTTTTTCTATCTTAATTAAACGAGATAAAAAAAATTGAATTATCTTCTTTAATACTGGTAATCTGCATGTGATATTGTTTGAACGACATAATCAATAGAGAAGCATGAAAAAGAATAAGATATTTGCTTGTTTTATCGATTGCCTTCGGTGCATTTATTTGAGAAAATAAAAAATAAACATATCTTTAATATTACATAGCAAATTATTTTCCAAGAGTCTATATGCCTTAAGTGTTTCATATATATTCAATGGAAACAACAGCCTTGATGAATTCTGTAACCTTCAAGATTAAAACATGTAGTTGCTTAATCTATACGATCAATGATGGAGATTCAGTTAAGATATTATTGATATGAATATAATTATCATTTTAGTATAAGCAATTGTCTTGATTTTCTCTTGATCTTGATGACATGCATGTTAATGATAAATATATTACAACAAAGATTACAAGTCCAACTTATCTTTCATACTTGAATAACTTTCAAAGTAGTTTTTTTTTCGCTACAAACATCTTCATGATTTATTTTCAAATAATTTTTCCTTTAATATAATCAGATTTAGCAGAAATTAGTTGATAGTTTCTATCAGAGCTGGGCACAGGACAGAATTGTCCTACTGTCCTGTTCTGTAATGCTCCAGAACGAAATAAGGCGGCAGGATAGGACAGAAGAGTTATTCTGTAGCCAGCTCTGGTTCAAATCTATTTGTCTTTAATCTAAAAAATGAGAAAATTGCATTACTGATTATGTCTAATTCACTATTATTGAATACCTATTTCTAGACACGATAGGTAAAAGAAATAGTTGCATTTGATAACTACGCCAGCTTTCATTCTTAGTCCATTATAAAAATATTTTTAGTGACTTTATTTTTACTTCGACATTATTAGGAGATATACACAAGTATTAATTTGTTTTTAATTATGTTCTACAAAAATATCAAAAATATTCTGATATCAATTTATTTTTTCTTTATGTAGATACATTTGTACAACAACAACAACAAAAAAATATATATCAAGATTATAAATGCATACAATATGAATTAACGAATTGTTTTTTGTGCTTTAGAATTTCGATTCTCAAATGTATTTGATGTAAGAGCACTTGAAGAAGTCTTTTTTTGTTGTTTTGGTTGCCATCGTCGACATAAAAAAAGTTTTTCAATAAATTTTTTTCGTATTTCAGGCAATGATCCACAACAAACAAATGGAAATAGAAATATAACATAATAATATATACAGTTGCAGCAAAAATTATCCGTACAATTTTGTTTTTGATGAACGATAGTCAGAATACCGATCTTTTAAGATTTGACCGATATCAAAAGAATCGCCATGACATCTAGTATTTACACTATAAAAATCAACGTGATTGAGTGAGTCCAT